TGCTAAAAAAAATTATGCATATTTTTTTTATGTTTCTTGAATTGGCTGTGATGAGAAAATTGCTCATTAATTTGTTTTACAGGTCACTGTTCACATCAAGGGTCAGACTGAATGCTATGAATGTCAGCCAAAACCAGCACCAAAGACTTATCCTGTGTGTACTATCACAAGTACTCCATCTAAGGTAATTCCACTTATCAGGGGCATTCTTGTAATTTCATGTTGGACTAGGACCAAATGATGTCAGTTTGTCAGTGGGACAAACATTTGCTCTACCTAAAAAGGCAGGATAAGGCCTCGAAATGCGATATCAATCTCCTGTTTGTTCAAAAGACAAAAATGCCCTCCTCACCCTCATCATTGAAAATAGCCTTAGAAAGCTTGTAAAAAGTCCTGTTTTGCAGCCTAAATTCCAAAACAAGTTGTATGCTATTGTTTATATGTGTGAGAGAGAGAGAGAGACCTTTACATGGAATCTTACTATGATATTGTTGCAGTTTGTCCACTGTATTGTATGGGCAAAAGACCTGCTTTTTGCAAAGCTGTTTGGGGACAAAAACCAGGATAATGATCTGAATGTTCGTTCCAATGACACTGCCAGCTCATCAGACAACTCAGAAGATGTTTTTGAATGCAAAAAAGATGAAGACATGGAACAATACGCAAACAGAATTTACAACCATGTGTTTGGACACAACATTGAAAGTGCATTATCCAATGAGGAAACATGGAAAAACCGCAACAAACCTAGGCCTATTTATGTCAAAGATGTTCTCACTGATGAACCTCTTCAACAACAAAATGGAAATCTTGAAACTGATAATAATGTCTCCACTCTATCTGCAATGTCATATCTTGGTTTGAAAAATCCTCAGGATATTTGGAGCCTTAAAGAAAATTCTAGGGTTTTCTTTGCTGCTTTAAAATTGTTCTTTTCCAAGAGGCACAAGGTTTGAATCTATTTGTTTGTGTGTTTTCAATGATGAGGGTATTTATGTCTTTTTGGTTTTTGCAGGAGATTGGGAACTTGAGTTTTGACAAGGATGATCACATGGCTGTGGAATTTGTAACTGCTGCTGCAAATATTCGTGCAGCTTCTTTTGGGATTCCTTTACATAGTCTTTTTGAAGCCAAGGGTATTGCTGGAAATATTGTGCATGCAGTTGCCACTACAAATGCTATTATTGCAGGTTTGATTGTGATAGAAGCAATCAAAGTTTTGCAGAATGATGCAAAGAATTGTAGGTGGGAAAACATCCTTGCTTTTAATAAAATATTTATTTTAATTTTTATCTTTGATTTTATAATTAATAATATATTCTATAATGTAGAATGACATATTGTCTTGAACATCCTGCAAGAAAGATGCTTCTTATGCCTGTTGAGCCATTTGAGCCGAATAAATCTTGCTATGTTTGCTCTGAGGTAAGCTTTCAAATTTGTGATATACAAGGAAAAAAATAACAAGGGTAAATTTGTAAAATATATATTAATACATTAACTTGATATATGAAACAGACACCCTTATTGCTGGAAGTGAATACGAAACGTGCAAAACTGAGGGATGTGGTGGAGAAAGTTGTGACATCAAAACTTGGCATGAATCTGCCATTAATATCTCATGGGTTAAACCTTCTTTATGAAGTTGGTGATGATTTGGAAGAAGACATGGTTGCTAATTATGAATCAAATCTTGAAAAGGTGCATGCATGCATGTTTTAATTTTACTATTTTTTTTTTAATTAAGTTAGAAAATTGTTTTTTTTTTTAATATATTTAAATCGATATAATTATAGGTGTTATCCGAGCTTCCATATGCAATAACTGGTGGAACAGTTATTACAGTTGAGGATCTTCAACAAGAGCTCGTATGCAGTATCAACATCAAACATAGGTTTGTCTAATATCATTTATTTCTGATGATAGGGGCATTTATGTCTTTTTCACAAACAAGAGATTAAGAGGCAGTCCTATGTTTGGCCAAAAATATTACAAGAAGCTTAAAAATAAGGACTAGAATTGCAAGGAAAAACGTTTTGGGACCAAAATTGCTAAAATCAGCTATTCTCAGGGACCAAAAATGTAATTAACTTAAAATATTTTATAGGGAGGAATTTGATGAAGAGAAAGAACCCGATGGAATGGTTCTTCACGGATGGACACAAGCTCCAGCTGTCGAAAAGAAGGATGCAGCCGCCACAAATGGCGCAAGTACATCGACTACATCAAACTCAGTTCCAAACAACTTGGAAGATGACGATGACCTAACTATTCTAGAATCCGGAATTGAGACCATTTCTTCCGGAAAGAAACGGAAGCTGTCTGACGTGTCAAATCCCGAAGAAAAACGGGCTAAAAAGGTACCCGAACAAATCGATGATGACGGTGATGTCGTCGTTATGCTTTGATGACATCAGCAAGGAAAATGAAAATTCAAGGTAATTTTCAGTTAGTGATTTGGATGCTAATTTTTATATCATGATGATGGATGGAGGAATATCAAATATGGCCCTTTTTGTTATTGGGATAACAGGTAAAAAGGTTTACAGTTTTTTTTACTGTGGGTTGTTTTTACTTGTTAGTTCTGTGCGTTTGAAAAATTAGGAATTTTTTTTTTTTAAATTTATTTTGGGTGTAAGTAGAAAACTGGATATGAAGATGGTAACGATAGGGACTTTTTGCGTGATTAAATCCTGACCGTTGGTTAGTGGCTCTCGATACTTGTGTTTCAATGAACAAGAAGAGTAAAGAGACAGGGTAACATAGGGTAGAAAATGCATTATCTTGTTAAAAAGATGTTACTTTGTTATAAACTGTGCATGTATTTTGTGGAAAATATTTCACACTGTTTGTTACGCCATGGATGCATTGTGAAAATCTAACTGCATGTGTATATTTGGCGAAAATTGGTAGTTGGAATCTGTAACTTTTATTTGTTAAAGTGTTTGACAAAAGTACATGTTAGCTTCTGAAATGAGTAACATTACATAAAACCTAAAATCCCCTAAAAGCTCTTAAAATTCGGTGCATAACATTTTCTATATAAAATTGAAGTTTCTACTTGAGAATCGATGTGAAATTTGCTTTGGGGTAGTTAATTTAGTTTTGTAGTGAGTTCTAGTTTTTGGAAAGTGGTTTTAAATGTCTATTTCATCTTGTTATTGGACTGATCAGATTCATATACTAATTATGTTCGAACTGCTTGAAAACCGAAACCATGCTTTAAAAATGACGATCTCAGCTCATTAGTTTATGTATAGTCGATTTTGAGTTATACTTATTTCTAATGGGTAAAATGAGTCATAATTTTTAAGCTAAAAAGAAAACATGACGAATGGAATGAAGGATTTTGGGCATATCGCATCAAATTAAAAATATATATTTTGGACAATTTTCAACATTGTCATCATTCCCGCTTTGGGGAGTGTTTTCTCCTAACATTCTTCTTTCTTCATCGCCAAGTCGGTTCTCTTAATCTCCTAGCATCTTATAGATTTCTCAAGGATTTTCTCTTCTTGCCTGGCCCTCCTTTCTTTGACTAATATCGTGTTTGTGAAGTTGGGAATCTCTTAAGCAGATAGATTGGACAGATGTAGTTAAGTAGTCAACTACATTGTGCTATGTTTCACATACATTTTTGTGCTTTCATCACGTTGATCACACTAGTCGCCACACATCTTTTATCCCCGTAAATGATAATGTGCTCGAGCAGTGATAGGGTTTTGCCGATCATATGATGATTTATGTATGTTTCTATTTTCGTAAAACATTTGCGAATAAGCGTGCTACTACAAAAGGCCCCAATATAAATCTTTCATATAGGGAGCTAAATACTATAAATAATAAATTTAATAAACACAACTCTTTATTTCATACCTAATCCATTCGTTTAAGTCCTCAAGTCCTCATCTAGTGAAATCCATAGAGTTGTAACTTTGTATGACTTTTCATTTCTGAAAAACCATTAATAAAGAAAGTAAAGTAAACATGCTCTTATAGTGTCATCGTCATTACTATGGAAAAATAATCTCATTATGGATAAGTTAATCCAAATGAGCTACTATGAACGATATATCAGTTTGTTGCGGGAACTCATGTTGTCGGAATGTTAGAATAAACTCTCTTTAATTCTCTGTTTACATATGGATGCCGAAAGAATTTGAATCCGATAATTAAATACATTTTTCATGTCTGAACAACACCTATTGCTTACCAAATAAAAAATCACAAATGCTCATGTGCGAGCATCCAGTCGAACCTTGTGCAACATAACCCCATGATAGAGAAGGGGTCCCCCACAACCCTTGGTATGTCTGCTGAGTATCCGAGGCTGTGAATTCAAGTCCTCATAAATGTTTAATACTCTTCTAAAATTAGAAGCAAACGCTTTGGTATTTATATGCCCCACTAAATGATTTGTTTTCATGCTACATTAAAAACATAAATTGTTGAAACCACATGACACTCGTAAAATTATATTTTCATAGATGGATCTCATTTTCACAGATGCCATCTATGAAAATGTTAGATCCATCTACAAAAGTACATAGTTTTGTCGGACATAGCTGACACTGCAAAAGTGTTATTTTTATGTACGAAAACCTTAGTTTTGTATGAAAAAATGTCGTTTTTCGAACAAAATATTTATTTTCGCAGATGCCATCTGCCAAAACGGTAAATTTGTTTGCAAAAAATATATTTTCTCAAACAAATATGTTATTTTCGTAAATGTCATCTACATGAGAAAATGTCGTTTTTGCAGATAAAAAAAATGTAAATAAATATAAACGTTGAAAGGAGGAAAAACTTATTCTAACAGATAGATTTTTATCGTCTTCCATTTTTCTTAGGAGAATTTTTTTTTTGTTCTAAATTTGTGCCTCAAATTACCAAGATCAAAACCTTTATCCACCATTTACAAAGTGCTAATGCAATCAGCATATAGAAAAATGAGAAAACATGCATAAGCTCAAAGCCATACTATATCAAGACCAGAAATTTATGGGCTGAGAAAATACATACATTTAAATGCGAGAGAATCAACACAAAATAATCATAAATAATACTTTACAAAATACAAAAAGTAAAAAAAAAAAACAAATAATAAATCTAGAAATTCATCATATATAATATTATTCTTCCCAGCTGTTGTATATGAATGAGTATTCATTCACCTGTGCTTTCAACTCTCAATGCTGGAGTGGAGATGATGAAGGTGAAACAACTACATACATATATCATATATCATATATCATATATCATATATCATATCTTCTCTTTCTTTAGAAATATTATAAGTACCCCTACCTATAAACCAAAATTACCAACATTTATTAGTTATCATATATACAAAATAAACATCTAGAAAAAAAATAATATTTTACCACTTTAAACCTTTTATTCATTTTGAGGTCCTACTCACACTACTAAATTACAAGTAAAACAAAATAAATAGAAAAAAGGACAATGGAAAATTTTAATAATCAATAATGATGTTAAAGCAACAAATATAACACTTCAAAGATTCTCTCCCTTTATGAAAAGACATAAAAAGGCAAAAAGAAAAAGGAAGAAAAGGAAATCCTTGTATGAAAGAAACTTAGGCTATAAAGCCCTTTAAAATGGTACACTTTTGCAATGAAACCAATCCATAAAGTAATGGAATTGGTGATTACATTCCAACTCCATTATCCATTCCATTCCTATGTGGTCAATTTTGTTAAATGTCACATCATGTAGTGGTCGTTTTTGTAATTATCCTTTTTTTTTAGTAATAGCTTTGTTTAAAACAAATCCGACACAAAAAAGGTGAAAAAAACATCAAATTGAACATATCCATATATGGTTTCTAATTCTTTTTTTTATTTTTATGATGGAAAAAAGACGAGAAAGGGTACCTTTTAAATCAAGAAACTTCACTCCTTGTTTGATTTTGACCAAAAAAACTTCTTTTTCCTCGATCCATTATCTGACAAAGATCTATTCGGTTTATACCCAAAAGAAAAATGTCTCCTCAAAAACGGTTTTCCATTACCCGAAGAACTCTTCATACTAGAACTTGCTCCCATTCTTGGCCCTCTACTTTTCACCCCATCAAACAAAACCAAATCACCATCAATCACCCTTTTCCTCAATTTACCAATCTTACCCTTCAAATCCATTTCCCCTCGTGCCTTTTCCGATAATTTAAAAACCTTTTTTTCCCCAAAAGTACACACGGGACATGCGGGGTCATACTTGTTCACCTCAGGTGTCATGTTTTCCAAACACTCCGCATGATAAACATGCCCACATATCAAAACCGCCGCCACCGGAAGCCCATTTACCGCCAACCCCGCCGCCGCCGCCACCTTCTGGTTGCCCCAATACGATCTTTCGGTCAAAAGCTTGGAGCAGACACCACACGGTTGAACATCAACGGAAGGTGAAGAAGAAACCCTACCACTACATCTGCTTACCCTATCGCGACTAAAACTTAAAGATTCGCTATCAAAAGACCATCTTTTGGAATTGTTATAAATTGCCATGAGCTCGGAGTAGGTGGGCTCGGATGATGCATCGGATGACCCGCCGTGGGACCCGCGAGTTGACTTGTGGGCCCACCCTGGGTGGGTGAAAGGTGAAGGTGAACCGTCTTCGGAGATTGAAAAGTTTGGGGACATTATGCCGCGGATTCGGCTGTCGGAGACTTGCCGGAGGAGGTGGTGGTGGTGGTGGTTTGGGGATGGGCGGGGCCATCGTGATGGGGTTAGGGTTGAGAGCGGCGGGAGGTGGCCTTGGGAGGAGGATAGAGGTGATGCTGACAAGGATGAAATTGAATGAGGTGGCGTTGATGTTTTTGTTGGAGATTGGTCTGAAGTTAATGGAGTTCCCATTGACTCCTTTCCCTAAAAAAGATACATGTCATTTGTTACACAGGACAAAAAGTTACAGTTTTTGTCTCATTGACATCAGTATCAGACACAGTCAGCCCAATTCAAACACGGTACACATTCTGTCTTGTCTTGTCTTGTCAGAGTTTAATGCTAAAATGCAGTACAACCTATTATGTCATGTCAGTGTAACATGGCCTAAAAGGTCAAATCATACAGAAACTTACCTCAGGAAGATTCTTGGAATTCAAAGGATCTGTAAGGACAAGACAAGTAGATGAATTTTAAAAAATAAATAAAAAAGAATACATGATACATTTTGTTATTAGTATAAAGTATAAACTGACGTGATTGAGGAAACCCAATTTCTTCAGAAGGTGAAGACTTTTGCCATGTGAGGCTTCTAGAACTATCCAAAGGGCTTCCTTCTTCTGTTGCATATGCGGTTTCTACAGTTGTATGAGATTTATTGTCTAACCGATCATTTGTAATCACTCCATCAGAAAAAACAATTCATGGAGGATTCTTCACCTGCTACACGCCCTCTGTTATCCCATCGAAAACTCCATGAAGGTGAATAACGATCATTTCTAGTAACAACATGAACATCACTACCAGATCGATCTGTTATGGTTCTATCTCTAGCAGCAACACAACAGGCAGATCCCATGTTATACTTGCATGAAATTTGTTCTACTAGAGATACAGAATGTTGTCTCACTTGAAGAAGAAATTGTTGTTTTCTTGAATCTGAATGTTTGTGAAGATGATGTTAATGGTTAATGAAATGATAAAATCTACTTTTTAAAGGAGAATATAAATAGAGGCATCAATGAACTGACTCAATGCAAAAGGTGTAAGCAATGATATAAAAGCTAGATGCTTTCTCCAACAGGAAGGAAGAAGAAGGTTTACTTTAGTTTTATCTGAAAATTACTGGAAACAATCAATGAAACATAAATGCGTATTTCCTTAAACAATCTATTGAAGAAATGTATATATTCTCCTCAAATTTATGCGCAAGTATTGTTTTTAGATTCATAAAATGCACAAACTACATTTGGTAATAGTGAGATGGTTGTAAACCATGGTGAAATGGCCGAATAAAACCCTAAGAAGATACAATCAAATGTTTTTGATTCAACAGTAATTACAGATTCCAACGGCATGAAACCTCGAATATTAACAGCTAAATGTAAAAGGAAAATGAATTAATAGGTAAACAGAAGCAATTGAAACTAATGACGCTGAATTCAACGAAAACCCAATTACTCCAACGATAACACTTATATCATTCGATACCTCAAAGTACCATTTCATTCTGACTCCTTTTTTTTGTTCATTATCGAGAATAAAACTACCGACGAACCATCAATAGCTACGTAAAAAAAATGAATCGAAAAATCACCTGAAGTCTATTCAACTGCTGATTTGCAGGATGAAAGAGCTTCGAGTCCTTAGTCGCAGAAACCCTAAAAATAATACGAATCAAACACTCCAGAGCTAGCAGAGATCCGAAATAACTGCCGACAAACATTAAATCACGGATAAATTTTCCAAATTGACATAAATAACACACCTAATCATCTCAACCTCGAAATTTGATATATACATATACATATTACATATTTACATATTACATACGCAATACACATAATATATATCAAATACCAAAAACTGAAATGATCAAACCCTACCTATGTAACCGCTCGGCCGCCGCGAGCAGAAGAAGTGGGCGCTGTGTGTGTGTGTGTAAGAGAGAGAGAGAGAGAGGGAGAGAATCTGATTCTTCTTCAGAGGAAATGGTGGAGCGAAAGTCGTTTTTAGATGGTTTTCAGAGTAACGTCGTTAGTGATATGCCGTTTGGAGATTTAGTACTTTTATAAAGGCCCCTTAACTTTTCACCTGCTTATAAATATTGCTATAGCATAATTTTTACAAAAGGTTATTTTAACCAACGACTTTTGCTCAATTTCCTTGTTTAATGACTATATTTTGAATTTTTATTTTTTATTTTTCTGGACAAGGAGGGAGAACCTAAAATGTCTACTAAACTATACAAATTCGACTTATCGTAATGTATCTAAGAAATTATTTTATCAAAATGTATTTTCTGGTTATATAAATAATGAGATGGACTAAATACCATGTTCAAGTAAAGAAACTTACACCCGAAGAAACCTAATAAACGATTGAGTTATAGAAAAATATAAATATTATTTGTAATTTAAATATCTATTGAGTTATTTTTAGTAAGGCTATAGTATATGACATCGTCTCATCATTCCATATAAATGCGTTATTTCTGTGATATATTATTTTTCATTCTCCACCGCTCCACATTATTCATAGGGATGCGATCGACACTTTCTATCACATTAAATTTATTATTTTTTAATGCACATATTATTTAATAAATAAAAAAAATGTGAATATAAAATTAAGTAAAATTCAAAACCTTCCATTAATTCATAAAATTTAAAATTACATAATCAAAATAATAAAAATTATATCTACTCGTTATTCTTTTCGATGAGATTGTTGTATATATGTTCCATCAAATCATAACAAATGTTGTTATACATTTTTTGGCATTAAACCTCTGTTACTCTTGATAAATATTGTGTGAGATCATGTGGTATTTGAAGTGGTTCTTCAACGTTACACTTATAAACGATTTGATATTTGTCTTCTAGTATCATATTATGTAGTAGGATACAATATTATGTCAAATCATATTGTATTAGTTATGAATTACTTGCCACTTACTCTTAAGGAATTCAGTCTTAATTGAAATGATTCATAATTATCTTCCAATATCTTTAACTATCAGTAAGAATAGTTGTATACTGCTCATTTGAACTGACTTTTGAATGATTTATCGTTACACACACACACACACACACACACACACACACATATATATATATATATATATATATATATATATATATATATATATATATATATATATGAGACGGTTCACTTGAGATTAAAAAATAGTAGAGATCTTGATATTGAACCTCAGCCACATATTTCTCATTTGCCGCTCTAATGCTCTAGCGTACCGACAGCAACTGGGCATGCCTAATCATAAATGATTATATGGTAGAGAGGTATAATCACATAGGATTATACATATTTATACGTATATGCCTAATCATAAATGATTATACATACATGTTTGTTCACAGATTGAGTAATTAAATGATTATGACAGTTGGTGGCAGAAGAGGTGGTGGTAATAGAGGTGGCGATGATATAAGTATCGGAGGTGACAGTGGTGGGGTCGGCTGGTGTCAGAGGTGGTGGCGGTGGCGGTTATGGTGATGGGGATGGTGGCAGAGGAGAAAGGAATGGACGGCGCTGTATAATCATTTATGATTATACCAGGCGTGGCACGCCGGTACGCCGAAGGCTTAGAGCGGCAGATGTGAAATACGTGACTGATGTTGAATCTCAAGATCTCTATTTTATTTTTAATCTCAACAGAACCTACCTTTATATATATATATATATATATATATATATATATATATATGATCAAATGAGAACACCTAAAAGGTTGAGAACGCGAGAACAGTTCTGAACCAATCAATATATAAGGGCGTATAAGTAATTGTATATTTTAATTAAATTAAAATAAAATAAAATTCAATCAAATTCCCTTAAATTTAGGATCTGTTACCAAAAAGAAAGAAATATTCAAATTTTTATTTTTCTTATTAATGGAATATAAAAAACATTTTTACCAAAATTTATTTAAAAAATGAAAAAAAATCAAATTTTTTCTCCTATTTCACGTTTTTTTTCTTCAAAAAAAAATGAATTGAAATCCAACCCCAAATCAATACATTTATATTCACAAATGATTTTTTTTTCAAATAACTTGAAACTACTCCAATCACAAATGAATACATATCAATTTACAAGTAATCCAATTCCTTTTTTTAATCAACTGAAAATAAAAAGAATACCTCTAATCATAAATAAATATACTCATTAACACATGATTGCATTGCTATTCACAAATGAATACACTGTTATTAAAAAATGAGTACCCTGCTATTCACAAATGAATAAATGAATACCTCTAATCATAAATAAATACATTCATTCACACATGAATGCACTGCTATTCATAGATGAATACAATGTTATTCATAAATAAATACACATTCTAAATCCACACCAGCTTTACCGATCGAATTCGATCCTCCAAAGCCCTAATTTAGGACTTGGGGAACGACTACAAGTGAGATAAAGGACTTCAATGAGTATGAGTACTTGGAGAAGACAGTCGACGAATCCGACACCAAAAATGGTTCGTCTTCGAAGACCAAAGACGGTCTGTCACTCTCGACGTCTCTCTCTCCATCCCTACACTACTTTTGTGACATTCCGATCGGGAAGACCTTTCCTCATGGCTACGGCTACATCCATGGTCACGTTCTCTGTGTAAGTCCCTCCTGCTCCCGTCATTCTCTTCGTCCCCTTTGTATTTCTTGCTCCTTCTCCGTTATTCTTCAATGCGGTCCTCTTCAACATCTTCGCCATCATCTTCTCTTCCCTTCCGCTTCCGTTTCATTGGATTCAAGGATGCAGGTCTAGAATCTCCAATGAATACCGATGAAATAAAATCGAGTTGTAGGATAACGATTGGAGATCGAGTTGCAGGAGGCCGATTTGTCGTTGAAGCCTTGGAGGGTCTTGGTGATGGCGAGGTCCAATGATGATCGAGTTGAAGAGGCCGCTTCTGTTTCATCGATTTAATGCTCTATGAGATTAGGTCATGAAATAGAGAGGTAGAGAGTAATTATAGGAGTTTACAAAATTAGGGTAATGCTTATTTACCTTAATAGCCTTTATAATTTTCTTTAATTTAAAAATTAAAATTTAAATGTATTAATAATTAGAAAAATAACAATTAATTATAGCCACACATCTTAAAAATTAGATGGTCCAGATCTGTTCTTGCGTTCTCAACCTTTTAGGTGTTCTCATTTGATCCTACTATATATATATATATATATATATATATATATATATATATATATATATATATATATATATATATATATATATATATATATATATATATATATATATATATATATATATGAATAAGTTCGTTTGAGACAAATGATATTTTGTGAGACATGAGGACCAAACCTTAGCCTTTGATCAGAACTGATCTTGTGGCTCATAAAAAACATGATTAACACAAATTAATCTAATTGATTAGTTAATTAGGGGCATGTTAGTAATTAGGTTAAATTTTAGATCATCAGATCTGATACATAATGTTAGCGTCATCACAGACCCATCTGCTTCGATCTTTCTACCAAGATCTTCGCTCGGAGAACATTTATTGATCTTTAATTCACGCTAATCGATATTCTATATCCTTAAATTTTCAATTCTTTCAACCTATAATCGATTTGAGATGGTCATTCATTGATCGAACAATGCTAAATCATACCTTTTAAAGTTGCAATTTTTGTGTTTTTGGAGTTCATATTCTTCATTCTTTTTCATCTGCAAGTGATGAGTGATTGAGGTTTATGTCCATCTATCGATATTAGTAATTCATTACAAGATTGTTATCAATTTTAACTTTGTTTCATTGATTTCATCCAAGGTTGAGGTTCATGTGTTCAACAATTTTTGCTAATCTTCATCTTCAACAATTGCTTACGATCTTTCAAGTTGTTAATTTTACTCTACATCATGATTTCGTCAATTGATCACAATTTGAATTTTCATTGTTTTCATTGTTACTTGCATATAACATATTTAGTTTTTAACCTAGTAACATGAACTGATTAAATCTTCAAGCTATTAGTGATTTCTCTGATTCATATATGTATGATTCGTGATTTCAACCATGAAACATCATATTGATTGATTGAATCTGTTTAAAGTAGAACACAATTTAACCTATATTATGTTATTTGGCAATGCATAATTTGTTTCATTGTTTGATTTTAAACTTTCATTCAATCAATATGTTTTCAGTAATATGTCACTTGTTTGCTTTTCATTAACATCATATTGGTGATAAATTCATGTTACTGCATATTATTCTTATAGAATATTGAACATACATTTATTAATATCAATAACGATAACATTTATTGATGATTTAGATATACATGACATTGGAAAAAATCATCACAGTGAAGAAAATCATCAATTCGGTTCTAATGATTCAGAGATTCTTCATAATGAGGAAAATCAATCGGAAACCTATTGTAATTTTGAAATTAACATTTTAATTTAATTGTTTGTGTTCCTTTAAAGATAATATATGTTACTACATATTATTCTTATAGAACATTGAACATACATTTATTAATATCAATTATGATAACATGTATCGATGATTTAGATATGCATTACATTGAAAAAAATCATCACGATGAAGAAAATCATCAATTCAGTTATGATGATTAAGAGATTCTCCATAATGATGAGAATCAATTGGAAACCCAAGGTTATTTTGTTACTGATATGAGTTATTCTTATAGAATATTGAACATATGTTTATTAATACTAATTATTAACATGATGTTGCTGATAAGTTCATGCTACTGCATATTATTCTTATAGAATATTAAACATACATTTATAAATATCAACTATGATAACATGCATATGTTAACATTGTGGTGTTTTATGTTTAAAGTCATATGAATGCAAATTATTTTAGTTATATGTTAACATAGTGATATATATATTTTTTTTGTAGTTTAAAGTGACAATGTTGCAGCATAATATGGATCTTGCAAACAATTCATTAGAGATGATGGTTATTTCTTTTGGATTCCAGAGGTTGAAGCTAGTTGGATACCTCTTATGGGTTCATTTTTTTTTTAAAGATATCAAAGATGCTATTAAGTGGGCAAGGTTGTAGAACTCGTTACTCGGTGCCTATTCGGCCGACTACCGAGTAGCGAGTACTCGGGGAGTACTCGGATTCGGTAATTCATGTAGAAATCTTTTATGGAAATTATATATGTCAAAATCACAAGTTTACATTGTAAGTTGATTGAAATATATAACAAAACTAGATACATGTGAATACACAAAAATTAAAAAACACTTAATGGTCTCACTTCGTGAATAATTACTGAAAATTTAAGATATATATATATATATATATACACACACACACACACACACACACATATATATATATATATATATATATATATATATATATATATATATAGTAATAATCACATGTGTGTGTTAAATAATAAATCATTAAGTATATTATACATATTAATCACCGACTTGACCGAGTGTTACAACACTGCTCAATTCAGTATGGGACCGATCAGGGAGTACTCGAGATTCTATAACTCGCCTCGTTAAGGGGCCGAGTAGCGAGTACTCGGAGGAGTAATCGGCCAACTCGGTGAGTTTTACAACACCACTTAATATAAAAGTGGTATAAAGGATATCCATTAAGATCTAGTTTTGATATTAGAAAATCAACAGAGAGGAAAACAAATGGAATTACAACTTCAAAATATTTTATATGAAATAGGGCGGGATATCCGAACACTTATACTTTAGATACGATTAATGATGAACATAACAAGAAATTGAGAAAAAGTAATTTCCAACGCACAAATTGCAAAACTTTTGTTGCATTCAAATTTATACCAGTTAGTTCTTCATAAGTTTACATGTGACGCTTTGAACAACAACATGACCATAAATTGATCAGTCAAGATTATATGCATCTTTCATGAGCTAAGCGTCAGTTGGATGTTGTTGATCAAGCTTTTATACATAAGCTTTCGAGTGCAAAGATGGGGGAAACTAAGACATATAGGTTTATGTGTATTATAAAAGGTGGATGCGAATTTGTTGGTGGATTAGAGATAGATTGGAAGAATTTCACAAGGGATATATATTTTCACATTGAGGGAACTCATGCGGATTTTTTGATTACTAAGATTCAGAACCATAAAGAGAATGTCACAAATTTTACATATGAATCCATATGTGACAAAAAGAAGTTAAATGCTCTCTTTTAGCCTGATGACACTTCTAAGCTAAATTACGAGTCCTTAGGGGATGTTGTTTTGTTTGACGCGACATATCGTACAAACAAGTATTTATTCTAGAATTCTAAACATTTTTAGTTATATATTCTAATGGTCTTTGTTTGTGTTTTTAGGTATTTTTGAAAGATCTTGTATGCTCAAGAATCATATTAAAGTGATATTGCTAATTAACATATGATACTAATGGTCACACTAACAACAACTTAAAAAATTGATTATTTATTAGAAATTGATTTTAATAAATATTCAATAAAGTCTTATAATTAAATTGGAAATTATTTATTTCTAGGAAATAATAATTTTCATTAGCAAGTAACATCATATATAATTCATATGGTATGAATTAATAAGTCATGCACAACATTTAGGACTAGATAAATTCTTTTGTCTTTTACCAAAAAGTTAAAGTTTATATTTTATAAACTTGGTTTATAAAATATAAAAGCTTTTGTCTTCTTTTGCCTTCATATTTTGAAATTTGGCAAGACAAAAGATAGTATGATATTTTCTAGTTGTTTAATCAAAAGGAATGACTTTTTGAATTGTTTATTTAAAACCCTTAAGCCTAAGCATGCATGCACTAAGACATAGGGACATGGTTGTCTCAAGTGTAAGTAACTATTGGATAATGGCTTCACTTTATACATTAAGAGAGATGAGGCTTTCATTCATTGTCTCTTGACTACTCCTAAAACCGTAACATGGAGAGAGTGTTCATACCCTCTCCATTTTATTCAATCCTTTGGAAATTACTGGCATCTTTATGCTCTCCTTATGTTTTTATTTTGATAAGAACATAAAGCTTAAGAGTCTTAAGAGTTTTATACAAAAAAACTAGCATTATACATCAAGTTGAGTCATTATTGACGTCTATTAAGTTCATCATTCTTCTTCAACTTCCAAGCCTCCTAAGAGCACCAAAAAGAACTACAAAGGTTGTTACTTCTTCCTCTCTTCTTTGGTTGGTGTTTAATCTTTCTACAACTTGCAAGATGATCCTTGGTGGGTTTACCTTGTTAATGTTATTCAAAGTATTAAGTCTTTCGTTGCTAAATCTTTTATTTTTTAAATTAGTTTTGAATAAAAACCCAAGAATTGGAATCAGTGCCACATTGCAAGTTTGGTTAGATTTTTTGATTTTTGGAAATCTTAGTTTTTGGAGAATATGGATAACTTGGTTTTGTATAAAAACAAGTTCATACATATTTTCTATGACAACTTTATAATTGTTATTTTTTTATGTGACAAAAGTTTCATGCGTCTTTTGTCATTTAAAGTTGTTTTAGAAAAACAAAGACTGTTTAATGTGTATGTTGATATGTATGATGTGCATAAACTACCCAATGACCATTGTATTTGTTGTGTTGTTGTGTTTGTTGTTTTTATTATAAAATTGGTTGTAATAATTTATTTATTCATATGGTATGTAATAAATTAAACACTACTAGAAAAACAGCCTTTTACGACGCGCATTGCGTGTCGTAAAATGCTCAGACGACGCGCAAATGCGTGTCAAGGAAGGCCCTGTCATAACGAGAGACGACACGCTTTTGCGCGTCATCTATAGACGACGCGCATTTACGACGCGCAGTTACGACACACATTTACGACGCTCATTTTACGAAACACAATGCGTATCAAGGAAGGCCCTGTCATAAAGGAAGACGACACGCATTTGCGTGTCGTAACCTTACGACGCGCATTTAGGACACGCATTGCGTATCATTATAGCCCCTGTCATAAATGAAGATGACACGCATTTGCGTGTCATACACTTAGCATCCAAATAACGATACACATTTACGATACACATTTACAACGTGCATTTACGTATAATACATAAACAAATATAATACCAAACATTCAATTTCATCTAAATGTCAAATAATAAAAACATTGTACACCACAAGTCAAAAGACAATGTTACCTAACATTTCACTATTATATTGTTTGTGGATACAAAATATCACCGACAAATGAAGCCTATAACAAAAGTCGAGGTACCTAACATTTCACATGTATAGTTAAACAAGGTGCGTAACGACCACATCAAGCAATAACTCTCTTGTTCTCCTGATGATGTCTTTTGATTACGAGCAGGAACAATATTTTCCTACGAACAAAACAACATTCTAATGTTTGTTACATTAATGCAAGAAATAACAATGTACTTTCATATATTTGTTCGCATCATAAGTTCATTAATTACAATATTATAATTTTGTAGGTTTTTCAAAGTATGACCTCTTCATAAAAAAATATTGAAAGTAGGATGCTATAATAAACATATAAATGAAAGTACAACTGGTCGTGTCATGTCATGTCATAACATTTAACAGAAGGGGATTTAAATTTAATGACATGGAAAGACTTACATCTACTGCATTTGTGTAGTCAAAACAACTCAAAAGTTTATATTTTTATGGTAGAGAACACAAGAATCATGATAAGTAATAAATATAATATGTTGAAATAAATACCTTATAATCTTGCATAAACTCATAGTGATGAACTGTATCTGGGTCTGTGCTAGCAGCTCGTAGAAACTTATCTAGACCATCTCGTGTTCCATTATCCACTACAACCCATATTAAAAACAAAAAACGGTTTGTTATTACTTATTTTGCACCTATGAATTTCATGATTTAATAAATTGTAATTTTATATAATATATATACATAAAATTCATTCCATTAACACTTCAAAGGCTATTATAACATAAAAAGAGGTTATGAGAAGAGAATGTGCAACTTACCACAATTAGTCCCCAACACATAAAGCTTTGTAAGGATGTCCATTGTCACATGTTGTAAAAATTTGTAAGTAGCATACCTTTGGTCCAACCATGTCAACTATCTAACATAAAATATCCATCCGATGCAAGTGTTCCTCATAGAAGAATTGCATCTCATTCCTTGTCACCGCCCCATTCCCATCCAAGTCTATGCACTTGAACCTATCAAATCAAATCCCATTTTTATATACCTTTAAGCAGTACTCAAATTTTTTCATATTCATTTTCCAATATTTTATTAATGTAACATTTTATATCTCCTAGATCATATTTCGTTCAGTTTTATAGAAATTAAATCACATAAAAGAAACTTCACTTGGAACAAGAGGAGAAAAAGGAAAAAAACAATATTAACCATCTCAATATGTATTCTAATTACTTTTTTTTTTAAAAATAATGATAGAATTAGCATAAGCTATTTTAAAAAAACATTTACATTTCAAAGAAGATCTTCCTGAAAATCATGACACTCGACAAACTCAAAGATAATCATTAGTGTAAGAATATAAGTTTATAATTTTTTTTCCAATATATAATTCAACAACAAAAAAAAGACATAATATTTTATTTTTATCCATCGACATTTCCTTATTTAAATAAATAGGAAAAATAGGACCCAATATTAGCATATCCTGACACCCAACTGGCTGTTCAACGGCTAGCCATTGTGGTGTCTCTAGCCTGTACAACGGTGGCAAAAAAAACCGGCCACCGGAAAATCAAGAAATCTTGAAAAAGGAAACACTTATCGTTAAATTTGGAAACAATATTTGCAACTCTATCTTGACACATTTTGCATCGAAAATCCGCCATTAAAACAACTTCCTGAATCTGTTTTGACAACAACAATTTTGATCATTACATACGATGGAGGATGAACAGAAACATATGCATAATCTAACCAAAATGCAGAAAACAAGAACATTACTTACTAAAGGAAAGGTCAAGGATTCAATGGAGGCAAGTGTGGTCGGAAGTTTGACCAAGTTCTTTGACTTTTCCAGTTTCATTTCATCATCTTCTTCTTCTTCTTGAACAGCAACCATGTCTTCAGCTACTGTAAATTTCTCGAGAAGGGTATCTGTGTTTTATTGTATGCCAAAACCCAAAGGGCAAAGGGCAAAGGGAAAAGGGAATCCTATCTTTAAAAGGTTTACTTTTACAGTTTCACCATGACAACTATATAATGCTTTTCCCCAATTCTGCTTTTGGTTTGTTAAAATTATTTTAAGAAAGTTAATTTGGATTAAGGCTTTACTTACCACATCCGAAAAATCTGTAACTTAATTCTTTTTTAAATCCACATATTAAAAACTTGACTCTATCAACTTAATTTTTAAATCTATCTGTATCAAGATACAAGCCTTTGAAGATTCCATGAACTCTGTCATGATTCCATTGTTCAAAAGAAAGTTAATGATATGGTCAAGCATTCCTACAGACAAACTGAAAAAATAAGGAAAGATAAATAGAGTAATCAGGAACAAGCTTTTAGCAAAATCAAGAAACTATAAGAACCTGTTGATGCCCTTCCCGTGCACAATTTTGTTGAGTTCATTTGATAAATAGAGATAACAGTTGACTTAATAATTGTCCCAATATTCACAATTTTAATTCTGCATCAAAGTCCATTTTATTTGACATCTGTTAGTCAATAGACAAAAAATGTGGACAGAATTATATGAATATTCCATTCAATGTCATAAAAAACAAGATAAGGTCATCAAATATGATTATCTGCTATGCACTTTGTTGTTGCTGCCCTACTAACGCCATGTGAGGAGGCTACTTCCCCAAAGCTGAAATCAGGAAAAACTCCACATCCTTGACCTTCCATGCTGGTCCCACTTCCACTTCGTGGGGCCTGAATCCCACTGCCAATGCCAAGCTGGCTCTATAACACGTGTTGTTGTTGCTGCTGTATCATTGTAAAGGGTGGTTGCTGAGGGAACACTGTGTGATTGAGCTACCATATGGGAATTGGGGACCATTTGTTGCAATTGTTGTTGCTGCATGGAGTTCGTGTATTCCATCTTTAGCATCTTACTATAATTATCAACAGAAAATAAAAAAGAAACACTAGTCTTATGTATGTTGGTATATATATAACCTGGAGTTGAGTAGAAGATGACTTTGGTTGACAGTCGGCTATTGCAGCCAAATACATGAGATTGTGATGTAGCCTTGTTTGGTTTCTGGATAAAAAGAGCATAGTTTTTATCATTATTTATGTCCATATAATATTGGAGGAAGAATACAATTATACAATTAAGAAAAAAGTAGACTCACTCTGCACATTCACTGAACTTTCCTGTACTCTGATTTTCCAAAATGTTCAAGATCTGTGCCTTGTTTTCATCCAAATACTGCACAAATCAATTTAAAAACAACCATTAAGTTAAAAAGTAGCCACTATTGTAACTTATGAGAGAGAGAGAGAGAGAGAGAGACCTGTTGGATATGATCAGTAGTAATAGTGGTGGTGTTGAAGGCAGCTGTAGGTGTGGGGCGGTGCTGCATCTGGAATTAGCATAAGTTTAAAGGATGAATAAGTTTCAATTGTTCTGAAATTAAGTGGGCAACAAATTTCAGAAACACATAGGACATCAATTGTACTTTTGCTTGTTCATTGGGGAAATTTATCAAACAGGTGGTGTTCATAAAAAAAAACCCACTCTGTCAACATTAATTCATCCTTCCAACAAATCAAGATTCATCAAAAACATAAAAAGCAAATAATTTAGTAAGATAAAAGGGACCAGGAAAAAGTAAAAATAAACAGATCGTAGGCTCGATATCAACAATTATAAACTGCATTAAACTAACCCTCAATTTCATAGTAAAAATCAAAATTCAAAACAAACATCATTCAAGAGAATATGAAGAACATATATTGAGATCGAGAGAACACAAAGAGGAGAACATGCGAGATGAGCGCAAACTATTGTGCCAAAAACTTACCAGCTAATGGAAATTGGCAACTTGATAACATAACGGAGGCCATCTGGAACAGTGGGGCGGTTATAAAATTGATATCGATATGGAATCAGACAAACAACAAAAGAAGGGAATAAGAACAAGAATGACAAGTAAGGGAGTACTGATGATATTACCTGCGTAGGGTCAAGGAGCAGAACGACGTGAAGAGGCGGCATGTATGATGATACGATGAGCACAGAGACCACAATGGAAGCGTAAGAGCCTAAGACGACGACGGTGAGCAGAGCGATACGATAGAGGTGCGTTCATGATAAAGAAAAGAAATAAGGATTCTGAATAACATACGACTAGGGAAGGAAGGATGTGAAAGCATAAAAGGCAAGACCTAGGGTTCTGGTGGGTTTGTTAAAATTAAAGGGCCGGATTGAGTGAATGAAGGTGAAGTGTGGATTGAGTTTATAAGGTTCAATGGCGGTGGCAGTGGCGATGGCTTAGGGTTTACAGAGAGAAGGAAGGAGTGAATGAAGGGAGATACTGAGGAGAGAGGTAGACGCGGGGTTCTTCAAAATTTTAGAATTTCATACGATTTCGTTTTCCCCCTTTAAAAACGCGCGTTTAAGCAAAAAAAAAACTATAAAGCGACATTTGAAGAGGACACACATTTAAGATAAGCACCCTCCGTGTTTGTATTTTTTTTCTTTACTGACACGAATTTTAGGGCACGCACAAATGTGTGTCCTCTATCCTTCAAATTTTAGAAGAGATGACATTATTTTTAGGGCGCACGCTTTTGCATATCGTAAATCACTGCGTGTCATTGTTTGCGCGTCGTAAAAGGCTGTTTTTCTAGTAGTGAAATATATTGGTTTTCTTCGTTTATTTTTGTAAATAATAGATTAGTTATTAGAAATAATTTATTTGTACAAAATGTAACAAGAAATGAAGTTGGAGCCATTTTTTGAAAACCAAAGAGCAATTTTCAAGTTTAAGAACATGCTGAAAGTTAGTGACAGTTTCTGAAAAGTGTCACTAATGCTGTTTCTTAAGGACTGTTGGACTTTTACCGACAATTGCTGAAATATTGCTTTCAAAAAGTTTTTTTTTCAATATTTTGCAAACAATGAGTGTTTTCTCAAGTGGGAGCTTCTACAACAACATTACAAAAAGATTTTTTGGTCTCTTAAAATGTTTCTTTAGGAATGGACTTGACATTTTTGTGTTGGCTCACAAAAATAAAATATCATTAGTTGGTTATGTTTATGCACATATATTTTTTACTAGTTGTAAGACCCATGTATTACATGGGTTAATTTTAAAAAAACTAAATATAAATATCAAAATATTTAAGAACTTTGAATTTATAAGAAAATAAGAAAAATAATGAATTATTATAATGAAAAATGTTTTTTATCTTTTAAATTTAAACAAATAATTTAAATAAATAAAAGAAACTAATGAGCTTTAATTTTGAGAATTTTGAAATTAAAAGGTAAATTCATTATTGAAATTGATATCTATTTATTACTAAATTTATTACAATTATTACATTAAAAAATTATGTAAAATTTAATAAAATATAACAACTCATAAAATGACATGTGGAAAAAAAATTCGAAAAAACCACAAAACAACATTTGGAAAACTTAATGAGAGTGTGACAAGTGGCAAAAAAAAACATTCATTTATTAGAGAGGATGCATGATTGTGTTGTTTATTTTATGCAATTATTATGTATGGTTGATAAATTAGTTTTTCACATGCTAAAATAATTTTTGGACAAAATAAACATCACATGGAGTTTAGTTTTCAAAATTTATAATGTGGACATATGATGTAGCAAATTATTATTTTAAAATAAAATCTGGTTTTATAAAAATGTTAATAATGTCACATTTTAAAATACTTAAATATAAGTTTTAAAATTGTGATTTTTATAACTTATACAAACTCTAAATACATAAGTATTAAAAGGAAGTCTTATTAAAAATATAAAAGGTTCAAATACACTCAAACTTAATATTGGTTATTAAAATTGAATTGCGTCAAATTATATAAAAACTAGTTTTTTTTTCTGAAAATTGGTACCACGGTTTATTATATGAATGTAATAACCATGATATCATATGTTTTTAAAACTAGAATTATAACACATATAAAAGACCCTTTTACAAAACTCAAATCTATGCAATCCATTTTGAAGAACACTCATACATCTCTTGTATGCACTAGTGGGATAAAGGTCACCTAACCACTTAGTGTTATCTTTTGATGGTCGGGGTGTCTTCGCGATTTCTATAACCAAGTTATTGGCCGATTACACATGTGTTTTCAAATTTGATGATTTGATCGAAAATCTTTTGTGATAAAGGTCACCTAAGCAAGAGAGTTCCGAGGCATATATGTGATCAAACATGTCTAATTAAATTTGTTATTAGCGATCCCATAAATCTAGGATTATATAGTAAGATATAATTGATAATCGATATCTACTGGGTTGGATTCAAATAAATGGGATAAATGCCACCTAACCGTTTATTGGTTTTCCAACATGGATCATAGACTTTGATAATTAATGTTTTTGGAAACTAAAAGGGTATTAATTATTAAAGAGTTTAAATATTGAAAATTCTAAATGAATTTTGTTAAAATTTTGTAGTTAAATAATCCATTTTCGTTACCATGAATTGTCATTTTCTTTAATGACTTAATGTAACAATAACATTCACCAGATACAACTTCAATGAATGAGTTCATGTCTTAAGAGACAATCTCGTGAGAGACATGAAATTGTATACACTTAAAGGTCCTAGTCCTAAACTATTTGCTTTGAGCAATTGACCTGAACATGACACCTGGTAAAGACATCACTATGATGCTAAAGATGTTTCTAACATCAAACTAGGAATAGTTCAAGGCCAAAATCAATCACCTTGTGTGATCTATGAGGCCCATGTTTTATAGATTGAACATCTTGAAGCCCAGAAAATCCAATAAGGCCATATAGATGGATCTTTTTTCTTTTATGGAGAAATTTGACACTTGAAGAGAAATGCTCCTTTTAACTGGAAAGAAAGTCTGGAAGAGACTAGTACTCCAAGCATTTACTAGATAGAACTCATATTTTTTATATAACACTTAGTTACATGGTACTTAAATTTTAATCTAATACTTGTAAATGACTTGTAGATATTTATAGAAGAGTAACCATCTGAGCACAATCAAGTGAGAACTACACTCTCGGAGTTTAGTTTATTAATTATGCTATGAACATAATGTACTTGTAATATAAAACAATGTTTGTTTTGGAACAATGTATGTTTTAATTTAGCTTGTCTAAATATATGTATCAGTTTAATTTATGAATGATTTACTATTTACTTAAATAATTTTTCTAACGATCACTTTTCATATTCGAAAATGATTAAAATTATTTTTATGAGACTAGATCTCATAATAAGAATTATAAAGTAAATATCAATGTTTTATAAATAACAAGTTCTATATGCAAACTATTTTGATTTAAACTTGTTTTAAATCAAACTCATCTTTAACATTGTTATCTTTATTATATAAATGACATTCACATATTCCAACTTCAAGAAAGTGATCATTTAAGGAAAATAATGTAGTTTATTTGACATATGTAAATATTATTTATAAATAAAAGATTCCTAATGATATTTTCACTAAGTGGTAGAGAAAATAAATTATTAAGGGATTTTACACTATGGTGTATGACAACCTTTCTAATGAATGTCTAAAATTTAGCATAAGATACCAAATCAACTTTATTATTAACTATAATAGTTTTTAATTATATTTTACATGTTAAAACATAATTATGAAATCTTTGTTTAAGATTTTAAATATAAAGTTGAGAGATAAACCAGTAAGAACTATTTAAGGCCTTAATGATAATAGAGGATGAATAAATCTTAATTAGTATGATTTACTTTCTAATTGGTAGAAATGTCCTCCTTTTATTTCATCGGGATAACACCTAGAACACTATCAATTTACCTTGAGTACAAACACCAACTGACTAGTAGATATAACATTTTCTTTATAAGATTTTGTATGGAAAGGCTCCATCCCTATCTTACTTAAATGTTTTATGGATTTAAAGCCTATGTTGGACTAAAGCTTTAAAACTCAAAATCTACTAGATATATATTTGTATAATACTCTAAACTTAGCTTAGATTATTATATGCAAACCCACCAACAATAAGTTTTCTTATTCCTTTGATAGTTACATTAACAAAAATCAAGCTTCTAATGACAAAGAGAACGGGGGGGGGGGTATGTAACTTGAAGTAACTCAAGAACCATAACCTGATGTAGTAAAAGTTGACACTAGTTTTAACAAGGGATTGTTAAACTTGAATAATAGCTATTCATAAACACAAATTGTTCGCATTAGTGGTAGAAATCATCTATGACTTGAGAAATGTGGAATCTCTCATTAATGATATTTTATTGATGGTTTCTGGAAAATCCATCAAATGCCAAGATGCTATGTCAGATCTCGAATCTGATTAATGACTTAGAATCATGAACATGAGATGTAATGCATATATG